AAGAAATAGGCATCTAAATTGGAAAGGAAGAAGCAAGACTGTCATTATTTGCAGACGACATAATACTATATAGAGAGAACCTGAAAAATGCCACCAAAAACTATTAGAACTGATAAATGAATTCAGTAAAGTAGCAGGATAAAAAACTAATATTCAGAAATTGGTTGCCTTTTTATACACCGATAATGAATTATCAGGAGAAATGAAGAAAACAATCTCATTTTCAATTGCATTAAAAATAATAAAATACTTAGGAATAAATTTAACTAACGAGGTAAAAGACCCATACTCAGGAAATTATAAGACATTAAAGAAGGAATTGAAAAAGATACAAATAAATGGAAGCACATACTGCATTCCTTGATAGGAATAATATCATTAAAATGTCCATAGTACCCAAAGCAATCTGTAGACTTAATGCAATCCCTATCAAAATACCAATGGCATTTTTCACAGAACTAGAACAAATAATTATAAAATGTATATGGAACCACAAAAGACCCCTCATAGCCACAGCAATCTTTAGAAAGAACAAAGTTGGAGGTATTGTGCTACCTGATTTCAAATTATACTACAAGGCTATAGTAATCAAAACAGCATGGTAATGGCATAAAAACAGACACATACATCAATGGAACAGAATAGAGAGCCCAGAAATCCACACCTATATAGTCAATTAATATGATGAAAGAAGCAAGAATATACAATGTGATAAAGATGGGCTACTCAATAAACAGTGTTGGGAAAACTGGACAGATACATACAAAAGAATGACACTTGACCATCTTTTAACACCATATACAAGAATAAACTCAAAATGGATTAAACACTTGAATGTAAGACCTCAAACCATAAAGCTCCTAGAAAAAAACATAGGCAGTAAGCTCTGACATTGCTCTTAGTAATATTTTTTTGGATACATCTCCTTGGGGAAAGTAAACAAAAGGAAAAAATAAACAAATGGGACTACATCAAACTAAAAATTTTGTTCCAGCAAAGGAAACCATCGAAAAAATTAAAAAACAACCTACTGACTGGGAAAAGATATTTGCCAATGATAAGAGAGTAACATCCAAAAATAATAAAGAACTCATGCAATTTAACACCAAAATAACTAAAAATCCAATTAAAAAATGGGCAGAGGACCCAAATAGACATTTCTCCAAAGAGGATCTACATATAGCTGATATACATATGAAAAGATTTTGACATCACTAATCATCATAGAAATGCAAATTAAAACCACAATGAGATATCACCTTACACCTGTCAGAATGGCGATCATCAATAAATAAATAAACAACAAGTTTTGGTGAGGATGTGGAGAAAAGGGAACCCTTGCTTTGGTAGGATTACAAATTGGTGCAGCCACCATGGAAAACAATATGGAGGTTTGTCAAAAAAATTAAAAATAGAACTACCATATGGACCCAGCAGTCTCACTTTGGGATATTTGTTCCCAAAAAATCCAAAACAATAATTTGAAAAGATATATGCACCCCTTATGTTTATTGCAGCATTATATACAATAGCCAAGATATAGAAGCAAGCTAAGTGCCCACTGATAGACAATTGGATAAAGAAGCTGTGGTACATATATACAATGGAATATTACTCGGCCATAAAAAAGGAATGAAATCTTATCATTTGCAACAACATGGAAAGACCTGGAAGGTATTATGCTGAGTGAAATAACTCAAAGAAAGACAAATACCATATGATCTCACTTATATGCGTAGTCTAAGAACAAAATAAACAAACAAACAAAACAGAAATAGGCTCATAGATACAAAGAACAAATTGATGGTTGCTGGATGGATGGGGGTTTGGGGGCCTGGGTGAAAAAGGTGAAGGGATTAAGAAGCACAATTGGTAGTTATGAAATAGGCATGGGAATGTAAAGTACAGCATAGAGAATATAGTCAATAATGTTGCAACAACTATGTATATTGCCAAGTGGGTACTAGACTAATCATGGGGGATCACTTAGTAAATTATATAAATGTCTAACCATTATGCTGTACACCTGAAACTAATATAATAGTGACTGTCAACTGTAATTGAAAAAAAAGTTCAAGAGATAACTGCTGATGAGGGTGTGGAGAAAAGGGAACCTTTGTGCACTCTTGGTGGGAATGTAGACTGGTAGAGCCACTCTGCAAAACAGTATGGTTCCTCAAGAAATTAAAAATAGAACTACCAGAGATCCAACAATTCCACTTCTGAGTATTTATCTGAGGAAAACACAACCACTAAGTCAAAAAGATATATTCATACCTATGTTCATCGTAGCATTAGTTACAATAATCAAGAAATGGAAGCAATCTAAGTGTCCATCAGTAGATGAATAGATAAAGAAAATGTGGTACAGTAAGTCTCCGACTTATGAACGAGTTCGTTCTGGGAGAAGGTTCGTAAGTTGGATTTGTTCCTAAGTCTGACTTGGGTGCATGATTGGCTGCATCTGTGAAAGTTCACAACTCGAATGCTAATAATTCGGGGACTTACTGTATATACATACAATGGAATATATTATTCAGCCACAACAAAGGAGGAAATCATACCATTTGCAACAATATGGGTGGACTTTAAGGGCATTAAGCTAAGTGAAATAAGTCATCCAGAGAAAGATAAATACTGTATAATCTGACTTACATGTGCAATCTAAAAAACAGAAAAAAACAGACTCAAATACAGAGAGAGAACAGAATGGTGGTTGCCAGGGGTAGGAGGTGAAGGGTGAGCAAAATGGGTGAAGGTGGTCAAAAGGTACAAACTTCCAGTTATAAAATAAATACATCATGGAAATGTAAGGTCCAACATGGTGACTATACTTAACAATACTGTACTATATATTTGAAAGTTGCCAGGAGAGTAGATCTTAAAAGTTCTCATCACAAGAAAAAAACTTTGTAACTATGTGGTGATGGATGTTAATGACATTGTGGTGATCATTTCTCAATATATATGGATAGCCAATCACTACACTGTACACCTAAAACTAATATAATGTTATATGTCAATTATATCTCAATTAAAAAAATAGAACTACCATATGATCCAGCAATCCCACTCCTGGGGATATATATCCAAAGGAAATAAAATCATTATCTTAAAGAAATATCTGTACTATGTTCATAGCAGCATTATTCACAACAGCCAAGATATGGAAACAACCTGTCTGTTGATGGATGAATGGATAAAGAAAATGACATATATATACAATAAAATATTATTCATCCTTTTTGAAAAAAAGACTGTAACATAGAAATCCTGTCTGAATTTCCGGTTGCTGGCCTGCCCTACAGATTTCAGACTCAAGATTGAAATATCAGCTTTTGACTAAGCTGCCAGCCTGCCAGGATTTCGGACTTGCCAAACCCCAAAATCACATGAGCTAATTCCTTAAAATCTCTGTCTCTTTCCTGTTTCTCTGGAGAACCCCTACTTGTACAGCAGGAGTGTGTGTGTGTGTGTGTGTGTGTGTGTGTGTGTGTGTGTGTGAGTGAAACAGAACTGCATTTGGAGGGCAATTTGATGGTATCTACCAAATATGGCCATTGCAGTTTTCCATTTTTACCATTTCTCTATAGAATGCCTTGTAAAAGCAAGTCACAGTAAACAATTCAATTATGCATCAGTAGCCAAATGGCTAATAATCTGAGGTAGGCGGCAATTACACATTGGATGTCAGTGTCAGGGAAGACCTTAGAGGTGATCTGGCAAGGCCGTGTCTCTTAGTGGATGAGGAAACTGGGGACTTACATTGGGGGTGACCCACCCAGGACACATAGGGCTGGGAGTAGGCTGGCATCCACATTCCTCACATGCATTGTTCGTCCCAAGCTTTGCTTCTTGGAGTGGTCTTTGCCCTACTTTTTGTCAGACTGCTGGGCGGCCCCACCTCCCCACCTATCACTCCACAGGTCCTGTGAAGCCCCTGGGCAGAGGTGCCCCAACTGTGGGGCCCCACAGTTCTCCCACTTAAAACTTCCTTGGTTAACAACACTGTAGGGAAAGGAGCCTGAGGAAAACCTCCAGAAAGTACAGTAAGGCCCAGTCCAGGTTGGGGTGATCCTGTCGGGGGATGCATGGCACCACTTCTATTTCCTCTGGCTTGAAAAGGCACTGGTGAGCTCTGAACTCTTGGTGTCCCACTCAAGAGCCTCGCTTACCTTGGCAAAGGGGACCAATCAGGAGCCTGTTCCCTTCAACACTAGTCGCAGGGGAGCTTTGAGCACCTCCCCTTTGCCCCCTCCTCCCCAAGTACTCAGTGATTGCAGCCTGCACTCCACACCTCACACTGCTCCTCGTCCATGCCCCCCCCCCTTTCTGGTACTTGCACTGTGCTCTCTTAAGTTCCAGCTGGCCAATCTGATAAACCCATTTGGGTTAGTAGGTATGTATAGAGTAAGAAGGCTGGGGGCTGGATCCTAACTCTTCTAACTAGCTGTCTGACCTTGGGCAGAATCATTACAAGGAGCCAATGGAGCTAATTTATATGAAGGCACTTTGCAAACCCTAAAGTGCCAGGAAATGAAGACTCACTGTAGGTAGATTACCTCTCCCAGGTGTTTTCACATACCCGCAAAGGCCTTCGGAGGAAAGTAAAGCCTTATCTCAGTGTTTCTCAAATAGTTGACCACCTACAATACATTTCTTGAATAAGCTCCTGAGGGATTCTGCTGCATGATGAAATCCTGAAACTTGTTGGCAGTGAAGTGACTGTAATGATAGAATTGAGGCACTGGGATGGCACGGGGTTGGAGGTCAGGAGGGTTGTTTGGAAGGGTGACAGGTGAGGACTTCGCCTGTGTGTCGGGTCAGCCCCAAGTCTCAAGGGATCTTAATTCTCATCCCCATGCCCTGAGACCAAGAATGGGCCACAGGCAGGGTGGTTTTTAGTGACAGTGCCCAGAAGTCCCCTTACTGCAGGGAACAGACAGGCTTGGAGGTGCTAGGCACTCCCAAGGAAGATAAGAAAAACACTCCAAGTCTTGAAAACATTACTTTTAAAAAAAGCATTATTTTTGGCTATTTGGAAGTAAGGAAGGTATATGATTTGGGGACCCCACCCCCAATAATAAAGGCAGACACATAGGCTGGGAGGTGCCTTCTCCAAGTAACCTCCTCCCCCACCTGGAGGAGAAGGTGGGCCTTAGGACTGAGGCCCCATATTGGGCAGGAGGGGAAGGAGGATAAGGCCTGCGGAGGAATACCTTCCTCTCCTGTCCAACAGCATGACTGAAACTGATCCTTGTGAACAGGTTCAGGAAGAGGCATGCCCACCTGAAAAGGATGTCTCCCCACTGACCCCTAACTTGACCATAGCCAAGCAAGCCTGGCTCCCACCACAACCCTCTAGCCCGCACAGGTTCAAGGGGCAGCAGCCAGTTCTGGGAGTACTGGGGAGCAGAGTGAGGGAGACTGCTGTGCAAGCCCCTTTCCTTCTCTAAGGCCTTTGAGGGAAGATCTGACTCTCCCAGGCTCCTTTCCTAAGGAATTGGGTCCCCTATGGGACCCCTGAGACTTTCCAAGTCCCTGAAATACACAGTCCCCTCCACCTTGGCAAATTCTTATCATCCTTCAACCTCAACCCATGTTCTGTCTCATCCAGGAGATAAATTCAGCAATAACTTCAGCTTGTATACCCGTCTTTCTCCAGCATCTGGCCCAGCACTTCATATTGCAGCCTCTTTATATTGGAAGATACTTTTGAAGTGAAGAGGCCTTCAAGATGTCTGTTTTAGTTGTCTCAGGTTTATAGATGATGAAATGTCTTCTCTTTTCACTAATAGTAACGATATAATAATAGCTAACACAGTGAACACTCACTACGTACTGGGCACTGGACATGTATGATTTCACTTGAGTCTCACAATTTAGCTCATTTTATAGCTGAGAGCTGAAGCACAGAGTGATAAAGTAACTTGACCCAAGATTGCACAGCAAATAAAAAATAAGGTCTGGGTTTGAACCCTGGAAATCTGGTTCCGGAGTTTTCACCTTATCTCTTGACTGAATATATCTCTTGCTGTCTACTACTGTCTGGCTTGCTCATCTATGTATGTCTCCTTTTCTTAAGTGCAGAAGTTTTGTCTTATCCTTCCCTAGTAACATCCCCCCACCCACATCCTCTCCCCACTACATAGTGGCTGAGCAGCACACAATAGGTGCTCTAGAAGTTGTCCCAAGGTCACCAATAGAGTATGGAACACTTCTCCTAACACCAGGTGACAGCACTGGCCAAAAGTTCTCTGAGAACTCCACATCTAGAGCTGTCGGTCAAGTAAAAATTTAAACTTTTATTTCTGGTAGAAATGATAAATACTTTGCATTAAAAAATCTGAAATTCAAGTTTTCCTCATACTTCATGCTCCTTCCCTGCCAGAACCCTACAAACATTTCTGTTTAGAGGAGGAAATGTGGTGCCTGCTCTCACGGTCAAGTCCAGGTCTGGGGAAAGGCACAGGCGGTCTGGGGAAAGGCACAGGCAGTCTGTCTCAGAGCTGGAAGGTCCCCAACCTACCCCAGTGCAGTCCTCGGAGGCCAGTCCTCGGAGAAGAAGACATTGTGATCTGGTGTAGGGGCTGTGACATTGGTCCCAACAACCCCCTCTCTGGGGCAATGATCCCCTCCTTGTTGGGCAGTCGAAAGTACAGAGGGGCCAGCTCCTTCCAGATGGCCTACAGGGTAGGGTGGTTGTGTGTGGGGAGGTGGGTATAACAGGCAAAGACGCCTTTTAGGGTCTAAACCTTCGAAGAGTTAAACAGGAGAATCTCAGGCCATGACATTTTGCTGGCTTGAAAAAGAGCACTTCGTGGGGGAGGGGAAGGGTGCAATGTGTAGCACCCTTTCTCCTCTCTGTCCTCAAGGAAGGCACAGGGTGAGCGTGGGAGCTGCTTTCGTGAGTTAACCCCTGCCGTGCCACAGCCCTTTTCACAGTCACGAGTGATGGGGCCAGAAGCTCCAGGATTAAGGGAAGGGGAGGGAAGGGAAATAAGGCCACAGTGTGGGCTGCCACTCCACTGAGTGGCTGGGGGATGAGTGGTGAGCCCATGGCAGCCTCCTGGGGCCCACCCCCACACCCTAGCCTGGCTAGGGGTCCTCATCCCAGAGACACAGCTGCCTCTGGGGCACGTAGAAGTTGAAGCTGTAGCTCTTCTGGCAGCTGCGGATGCCACATTTGTAGGGCGCTGGCCGGTCACGGCTGTGGCAGTACTTGAGCATGCAGGGGTACCAGGCCAAGCTCAGGCCATAGTGGCAGACGCAGGGCTTCCCTCGGTCCCCCACATGCCTGCAGGGAGGCAGCAAAGACTGTTCTGTGTCCTTGGGCAGAGCCTCAAACACGGAGCTGTCCACACCTGCGGGAGAGAGCAAAGGTCAAGGAGGGGAACGGTGGTTGTGGGTGGTGGGGGCGGAGATCCCCGAGCCAGGGGGCAGGGCCGTTCCCTGCATGGCCTCTTCAGGCATCCCATCACTGCTACGAGCGAAGTCCTCTCATCCCTGTCTTACAGATGAGAAAACCAGCCAAGTGAAGTTTAACAATCTGGCTGAGGTCACACAGTAAGTCGTGGAGTCAGGGCTGGAACCCAAGTCTGTCTGACTTGAAAGCCTTCACTCAGTCATGCTGCCACCCTACACTTAAAAACATCAATATACTGGATTGCGATAGAATATAGGCAGGGGGAGAAGGAGGAGGAAATCAAGGGAAGCTTCTTAAAGGAGACGATAGCTGAGTAGGGCCAGGCAGGGAAGGGCTAGCACAAATGCGATGGGGAGTCAGGATGGCCAGGTTGTGGGTTAGACAGGAGTGTGCACATGAGGAGTGCTGGAGGAGATGGCAGGGCCCTGAGCCCTGGCTCGGCTCCGTGGTCACAGAAGGGAGCAGCCTCTGGGGGACAGTGTCAGGCTTGTACCTTAGTTTGGGGTACAGCCCAAACCAGGGTATGTGTGGGGTATAAGGAGGGGTATGTGTGTAGAAGGTGTGATCACAGCTCTGTTGGGCATTTCTAAATCCAGTGCAGCCCTGGAAGGGGCAGGCAGTTCTCTAGTGCCCAGCTGGGCGGAGGGACCAGGGACCTTACCGTATTTGCCGGCGTATAAGACGACTGGGCGTATAAGACGACCCCCTAACATTTCCACTCAAAATACAGAGTTTGTTATATACTCGCCGTATAAGACTACCCCCTCTTCCACACACCTTCCACACACCAAATAAAAGGTAAAACAATATCAGATTTGATTTCAACATTTTAATTTATAATGAACGGTATGTGGAATGAAGTGGGCGGGCATCGGGAGGCCACTATGGCACGGGGCAAGCACTATGGGCAGTCTATCTGAAGTGTACCTGGCGTATAAGACGACCCCCCCCACTTGGAGGCATATTTTTCAGCGCCAAAAAATCGTCTTATACACCGGCAAATACGGTAAGTTGGAATGGTGACATCTTCCTGTCCCTTCTACACAGAGAACCTGCGGACAGCCCTGGGAAAACTACTAGGAGATGGACCAGAGGTGAGGTCACACAGGCCAGAAAGGCAAGGATTATGCAGAGATGGGAGGAGGACTTGAGGATCTTGGGGGAGAGATGTGGGCACCAGAGAAGGTGTGAAAGAGGAGTGACTTTCTAAGAGGTGGCAGCAGAGGTGGGCAGGTAGAAATGGGTATCTTTAGGCTTCACCCAAGTCCTGGTGCCTGTGCGCCCCTCACATGACAGAAGGTCCCATCTGTGTTCTCACTAAGGTCAGAGATAAGGTGGGAATTGCCTGGGAATCTCTCTCCACAGGGCCCAGCAGTCAGAGTTTGTGTGTGTCCCTTCCCAGAACGGGTCCCTTTCACCTGGCTGACTCCTCTCACTGAAGAGCCACACAGGCATCACTTCCCGAATCAATCCCAGCCTGGTTTAGAGGTCCCTCCCCTGAACTGCCACATCTCATTGTTGTATTCGATCATATTTGATATGACACAGCAGTAGGCAGCATCCCCCTGACCTTGCTCCAGCCAGAAACGGACGTCCTCCTGGCGGGTGTAGATGGCATCCACAGCCTCAGCACACACGTTGTGGAGATGGGGGCTCAGCAGGCCCCCCTGGCTGAAGTTGACGGCGATGTCCATGTGCAGGTGCTCCAGGCCCCGCACCTCCTCGGCCTGACGCACTGCCCGTGGGTTTTTCTGTGTGGAGGAGAAAAGCCACTGCCACACAGTCTCAGAATGCTCTGACCCTTTCCCCCTGATCACTTAGGGTCAGACAAGCCCAGGCTGGTTGCCTTTAGAACCTTGGGTCCACCTGCAGGGTGGCAGTCAAAGGGTGCCCAGCCCCCACTCCAACTGGCAGAGAAACTGATACCAGAGGGTAGTCAAGCCTTTTCAGCTGGCCACTGAGCTGTCCTCTGCAGCCTGATGGAGAATTCTGACATGTTGCTGGGAAGTGGTGTTGAAGGTGGGCAGGCCAGGCAAGCTGTCCCAGGGTAAATGACCCCTGGGGTCCCCCACTTTCCAGCATTCAGGGAACTGAATCTCTCTGGAAGGGGCAGGCACAGGGGAAGGGCCTAGGCCAGCCCTGCTGGACAGTTTAGGGAACTTAGATGAGGCAGGGAAGAGACCCAGGGTCCAGGAAGGGAGTCGGGGCAGGTCAACAGGCTAACACTTTACATATATCATCTCATTTAATTCTTACTATAACCATTTCTCACTAAGAAAATAGAGGCTTTTAAGGTGACGTAACTTGTCCATTGTCAGCCAGATAATGAGGTAGGTACTGGGTCTGAAGGCAGATCCAACTTCAGAGTCCAAGCTCCTAGCCTCCATCATAAATGGGAAGGAGCTGAGAGTAGGGGACTGGAGGAATATGGGAGCTGGGGGTTCAGTCCAGATTAGAGACCTAGGGCTATGGGGTCAGAGTTGGCCTGGAGCAAAATCAGGGCATTCAGGACTACAGGGTGAGAGTGGGGTGCCAGGGATGAGGGCTAAGGTGGGTCAGGTGCTGGGTGGGAGGCTGAGGGTGGGGTATGCCTAGGCTTGGGGCCAGGCTGGCTGCAGTGGTGGGGGCCAAGGCAGGCCTGGAGCAGGCACTCACCTGTCGAAGCTTGGCCATGGCCTCACTGGGGATGATTTCATTGTGGTGCAGCCGGGTGACAAAGCAGAGGGCCTGGAACTGACTCTGACCCTTCTCCAGCTCTCCCAGGATCAGGGCCCGGAAGATCTTCACATACTGATGGAAAAGGGCAAAAGGATGGGGACCAGCTGGAGGGGAGTGGGGCCTCCCCACTAGCCCACCCAGCACAGCTCAGGCCCTGGAGAGGACACGTGTCTGGACACTGCCCTGCAACAGTCTAGGAATTTTTAACTTTCCCATTTTAACCCATGTTCTTAAAAGAAAGAACACACCCCAGATGTTCCAAAGCCTCCTGGAAAATTCACATATTGAACTGGTAGAAAACTTTCCAAAACAGAACGATTCAAAAGTATAGAATTTCACTTTGAAGAGACTAGCGCTTGGTTCATTCACAGCTGATGCTTCCTTCTGGTGGCACCCCAGTGTCACTCTGATCAGGCTGGGTCAGGATCACCAGGGCCTCGTGGGGGAGGGGCTGCCCCCTTTACAAGGACAGATTCCAGAGTTTCTCTTGCTGACATTCGTACTTAGTGTTCTCAGCAAACGCCTAGAAATGAGGGCTCCTCCAAATGCCTCCCATGCTTCTAATCAGCCAGGCTCCTGGCCCCCATCTCAGACGGAGGTTGTGGGGGTAGGATGGGGTTAAGGGCAGATGCAGCACAAGCTGGCCGCAGCTGTTGCTGCCTTCTGGCCTGAGGAAGCTAGGATGGCTCACCTTCCCCTTCCCTCTCCCCTTCCCCTTTCCTCACGGGGTTACTAATGGCATTACCAGCAGGCCAAGGGCTCCTTCCTGTTACTGACTCACTGCGTGAATAGGGAGGCTGGAGAGGGGCCATGGGCTGGGTCCCCTTTCCAATCTGGCTGCTGGAACGCTGTGCTCTGACCCACCTACACCTGAGGCGCCCCTCTGCTCTCACCTATCTCTGTGCCTTGCCTAATGGCTCCCAGTGAGAGGTTAGTAGGCCCCAGTCAGACCTGCCTGCCTAGGAGGTACCCTGGTCACAATGACAGTTCTCTTCTAGGAACCCCAACGGCCCTGCAGTGGCACTAAGAGTATAAAGCCCTGTGTATGGGGCTTTCACTTTACACGTCTTTCACTGTATATGCCCTGGCCTCATACAGTGCATATTCAGTGAGATTCCCTGTTCAGTGATGCTCACTGTACGCCTGCCAGAGTGTAAGCGCTCTGAGAACAGGGTCTAGGGTCCCCCCTGGGTTCCCAGTACAGGCAGGGTCCATGGTTCCACCCCAACTCCGCAATATATTAGCTGGCACCCAGGCCTATCTCCCAGTTTCTCTAAGCCTCATTTGTAAAATGGGGACGATAACGCATTTACCTGACAGGGTTGTGGTGGGGACTAAATGAGTTAGTGTGGAGGGCACAGAAGAATGCTTGCCCAGAGTAAGTACTAGCTGTGGTGATTATCATCATTGCAGATGATCAGCAAATGTCACAGGCAATCTGAATAAATGAGTGCTGCCACTCCACAAATCCCCGTGCACTTCTGAAGTCCTTTGACTTTACAAGGATGTTTCTTTTACTTCCTTTTACTGCAAATGAGCTCTGGAACAATGAAGTGTGGGAGTGTATGGGGTGATTTTCCACCAGTAGTGCAGAAAGGGAAACTGAGGCCCAGCTGGTGAGAAAGGTTCCTTATGATCCCAGACTTGTGGGAAAGGTGAATCAGAGTTTGAATTAATCCCAGCTCCTCTCAACAGGAAATCCATTCTCGGGCCCCAACTGCTTGGCCATCCAATCTTCCAATTCCCTCGGGTTGACTGACGGGAGACTGGAGGCTGGTATATGCGTGTATTTTCCACTCTGGGCTCAATTCCTGCCCGTTGAGACTTGATACCAGACTTCCTTTCCTAGGGTATTTTCAGCAGTGACCCTTCAAAAGAACTCTATCTGGAATAGTCACAGCATCTTCTCCAATACCACAGGCACGTGCAACATCCTGCAGTCTGAGGGCTGCTGAGTGGTTTCAGTGCTTGGGGACATCACCTGCCCACCATTAACAGAAAGCATTTATTTGAATTCTTGAACCAGAGGATGAAAGAAATCTGAGTTTCCCCCCTGCATCTATATTAAATAACAATGTCAATACCAACAACAAAATGCTACCAAAATGGGAACATGACTGGGAGTGAAGACAGGGAATAGAGATTTCACATTGAGGAGATTTCACATAGATTTCCTCTGTAGTTCCTATTTATCTGTGTAGAACAAAGATTTATTGAAGTTTATAACTGGGACAAGTCATCGTTACTATGAGTCAAAAAGGATATACTGTGCCATTTGAAATCTTTACAACAACAGGAGGTGGGAACTATGATTACTACCGAATCTGGAAAGGGTAACTTGTTCAAGGTCATGGGACTAAGGGGAAACGTAGCCGGAATTTTAACCCAGGAAGTCTGACTCCAAAGTCTGAGCTCTCTTAACCACAGTGCACAATTGCCTCCTATATCAACTAGTCCAATTTCCTTGATGCCCAGCTAAAGACACTGAAACTCAGGCCCGGAGAGGAAGTGCAGTCTGCCCTTGGCCACACAAGCTTATGAGTGGCAGAGCCAGGATGAGATCTCTTTTCCAGCTGTGCCCATCCATCCAGTGATGGTCTGTGAGTCCTCTCTAGACCTACCCAGGGAGTGTGGCAGTTCCTACTCATGGTTCCGCATGACTAATGAACAACAGCATTTGCCACAAATATCAGAGTATGATGAGGCAGGATGCCCTTCTAACCTGCCTGTCCGCCTGTCCTTCCCACAGCCTCTTTAAACCCTGAATTGTCCAGCCTTTTTAGTCCTGTTTCTCCAGAAAACCATATTCCACTTGCTGACCCTTTGGCCCCACCCTCCTGATAGGTGCCCCTACTACCTTCTACTCCCTACACCTCAGACTCATTACTAAGGTTCAAGGTCCCTTTCCCTCCAGCACAGAGGGAAGAGCAAGGGGAGAGGCCCTGTTGTTTCAGGGAACTTCTGGCCAGATTCTAATCCCAGGTCAGAAGGAAGCCTGAGTTTCATGCTTCCTCCTCACTGTAGAATCCCCTGGGATGATTTACGCATATGTGGCCTACTGCCCAAGACAGATGGCATAGCTGGGGAAAAGCCCAAGGCCGGGGCCTGGAGGCAGGTTCCTCATACCCAGGACTAAGGCTAGGGTTCCTAAGATGGGAGGTTTCTATAAGGCTCCTTCTCCCAAAAGCTCTCAGAACCTGCAGCCCACCAGGAGCAGGCCACCAGGAAGATGTAGAGCAGAGTACCAGGGATGAAACCTGGGCCATGCAGAGGGTGTGGCAAGTGGGTCATGGAGAGAGAGAGAGAGAACATCTGCTAAAGTCCCCTGTGGTTTTTCGTAAGGAGCAGAGTAGGCATGTCCTAGGAGAGCACAATAGTTAGAATAAAGGCTCTGGAGTCAGTACTACCTGCACTTAAACCCTCGTTTTTCTGACACAAGCCATGTAACCTTGGGGGATTTATTTAATCTCTCTGCACCTTAGTTTCTACATCTATGAAATGATTAAAACTAACAGTACCTACCTCAAGGGATTATTGTGAGGAAAAACTGAGTGAAAGGTTTCAGAAGATAGTGGGTTGACCTCTTTAATTTTCCCTATTATTATTTCAGCTCCTGGCCTTGTTCCAACTGTGATCTATTCCAGACCTGCAGAGGCAGGAATCAAGATTTTTGTCTTACAGATACACCTGAGACTCACAGAGGTCAGATGACTGCTGTGGGGCTTGCAAGTAATCAGCACATCAGTAGGGAGCATTGACTGGCATTACCTGGGGCAAGGACTTCACAGCCACCAGGCTGGGCAGAGGTTGGGCAAGACCAAGGCAAAGGCCCTTGTCTTCTAAAGGCTCAAGAGGAGCCTGATATCCTACAGCTAAAGTCAGTGCATTATGATAGGCCTAGGGTTGAAGTTTATGCTATGTTCTATGCGGCAAAGGATGGATGAAGGAATGTATGTTGTCCCTTTAATGATGGGGCTTGAAGTGGGGGAGGAAGGGAAGACTTCCCAGAGTAAGGGACATTTTGGTGGTCCTTAACAGTCAAAGGATGGGGCTTTCTAGCAAAGAGAGAGACATTTACAGAAGACAGGGAGGTGTGAGGGTCTCAATGCCCCCACCCAAACCATCCCTCCATTCTACTATCGTCTGATTTGCCTAATGTCCTTCAAAAGCTCCTTTTGTCGTCTCCAAAAAGTGTACCCCCCAGAGGCTGGCATCCAGATATTTGCAGACAGTTCCTCTTGTACTCCCTGAGCACTGAACCAAAAAGCTGGCGGTTCCCAGAATGAGTGATGCCATGTACCTTTCCATGAGCTGATTCCTCTGCCAGGGATAGCCTGTCCCCATCTGCCTACCATGCTTTAGGACTCGTTCAAATGCATCATCTCTGCCTATCCTCCCAACGCTGCCCTTACCAACACTCCAGCACAGTCGGCCAGGCCCAACCTCTGACCGCTACAGCACCAGTCCCACTGTGTTTGCAATGATCACTTTACTTGTCTTTCCTTCCAGACTCAACTACTTGAGGCTGGGATAGTATCTTATTTTCAGTGTATCCCTACCTAAGAACACAGCAGGTGCTCAGGAAGTATCTGATAATAAATGAGTGAACAAACAAGAGCATGGAAGGGTTCTGAGAAAAGTGATGGGATGTATATGGGATGGCCGGAGGGGTGTAGGGGAAGGCAGTGAGTGATCGAAGGAAGAGGCTGGCAGGAGGGGCAGGGCACAGGATCTGCAAGCCCTACCAAGGAGTGTGAGTTTCATCTGACAGATCAGTGGAAGTCATTGGTGAGTTTTGAGCCTGGATGTGACATGAACAGATCTGTGGTTTAGAACTAAATCAGGCCACTGTGCACCTGATTAAAATGCCTCAGCAGAGGGCCTCTGTCCTCATGTGGCATCTTCTGCCTGGGAAGTCATCCAGGCCCCTGGTTCAAAGGCAGCAACTAGCCCTTACTTATGCAGTATTTTCAGGGTCTGGCACAGAGCTGGAGTTCAACACTTATTAGCAGAGTGAATGAACAAATGCTCTGGGGCCTCCATCAACCCGCTTGCCCAACAAGAAGACGGCT